TATAAATTGCATATTGTAAGACTACTGTTAGCAGAGTGCAGTGGTCAGAGGTAAGGAATGAACAGAGTGCAGAGGTCAGATCTAAGGAATGCACAGAGTGCAGTAGTCAGTAGTAAGGAATGCACAGAGTGCAGTAGTCAGTAGTAAGGAATGCACAGAGTGCAGTGGTAAGAAGTAAGGAACGCACATAGTGCATTGGTCAGAAGTAAGGAATGCACAGAGTGCAGTGGTCAGAAGTAAGGAACGCACAGAGTGTAGAGTTCAGAAGTAAGTAACGAACAGAGTGCAGAGATCAGATGTTCTGTACAGAGTGCAGAGGTCAGATGCTCCGTACAGAGTGCAGAGGTCAGATCTAAAGAATGCACAGAGTGCAGTAGTCAGAAGGAACGCACAGAGTGCAGAGGTCAGAAGTAAGGAACGCACAGAGGTCAGAAGTAAGGAACGCACACAGGTCAGATGTAAGAAACGCACAGAGGTTCAGATCTAAGGAACGCACAGCGTGTAGAGTTCACAAGTAAGGAACGAACAGAGTGCCAAGGTCAGATGTAAGAAACGCACAGAGTGCAGTGGTCAGAAGTAAGGAATGCACAGAGTGCAGAGATCAGAAGTAAGGAACGCACAGAGTGCAGAGGTCAGATCTAAGGAATGCACAGTTCAGTAGTAAAGAACGCAATAAATCCTGCTTTCCTATCACACAGTATGGGGTGGCGTGGCATGGGTTATATGTGACCGCAGTCTGACATTTAGAAGGATCTCCTCACTGGTATTGGGCAGCTGGATTTTTTACATAGAACATTTTTAGCAGCAGATGAGAACAATGACAACAGAATGATTGTTTTGGGGGGTTTTCCAGCATGCATTGTTCTATTTTATAAAGAGGGGTGCTTTTAAAATAGAAAAATGCATGATGAAAAAAAAAAGATAATTCAAACTGCTGGAGAAGGGGGTAGGGGGGTAAATACTTTCTATAAACACTGTAAATTGTACCCAGATGTCTGTTTAGAAGCGGCCATGTAGATTTTTTTTAATTTTAAAGAGGGCAATAAAAATAATAATCCAGAAATAAATGAAATGGTAAAGAAAAAAAAAAAGAAAACAGTGGTGCTTCACTAACCTGAACTCCTGATCGAAGGGTCAACTCCCTGTGTCCGTCCGGTATCAGCCTCCTCCGATTCCACCGCTGGCTGCTGCAGAGACAGCCTAACTTGCCTAATTAGAGAGCCGCCTCTGTTCCTGAGGTAGGTGGAAATATTGGCGCATATCATCGCAGGCCCAGGGGAAACCTGAGTGGCCAAACGACTGTACCGGCCACATGTCCGCAAACAGTCGGTTAACTCGACACCACATGGAAATACCACTAAAAGGAAGGGAGTTGTAATAGGGAGTCAGATTCCAGAGAAGAAAGGGAAATCAGGAATCAGTACAAGAGGAGGAGAAGGAAGGCGGGAAAGGGAGGATAAGCAACAGTGGGTTATGTTTTGAACCCCGGGCAGCGTGTGCTGCTTGCGTGGCTGCCGCCTAACTCCGCAGGAGGAGTTCTGTAGTAGGGTGGTGAATTCGGCCGTCTGGTGGGTAAAGTCGGTCCAATAGAACCATGTCTTGCAGTGTCTAGCATGTTGGCCTCTTCCGGACCAGACCAGGTCCTCCATTCTCTCCACCTCCTTGTGAAGCCACCTAGACATCGTGGGTGCCTGGGACGATTTCCACAATGCTGGAATACAGCAGCGTGCTGCGTTCAGGAGGTGTGGGGGGACAGACATTTTATTGTGTTTTCTGGGGAAGGAGTTGTGGTGGAGGAGAAAGAAGGCTGGGTCCCATGGGATTTTTCTGTCCGTGAATTTGCCTAGTAAGGACTTCACGGAAGACCAGAATGGAGTCACTCTCGGGCAGGACCAGAAGATATGAAGTAAGTCACCCGGGGCTTCGTTACAACGCCAGCAACAGTTGGGCACAGATGGGTACATTGAGTGGAGGAGCTGGGGGGTCCTGTACCAGCGAGTGAGGAGTTTAAATTTGGATTCCTGGACTCTCGTATGAATGGAGGATTTGAGGGAGAAGTACTGAAGTCTCGCTATTTGGGTAGAGGTGAAACTAACACCCAGATCCTGTTCCCATTTACGGATGTAGGCGGGAACACTATCAGCTATAGGAGTATTCAACAAAGAATACATGAATGAGACCGCATGTCTAAGGTGGTCTAATTTATCACATTCCGATTCAAAGGCCGTGAGAGGGCAGGGGGTAACGTGTGGAGGAAGTGGGAGAGCTGTATATTCCTCCAGAAGCCAAGTGCGGCTGTTTTAGAGTTCGACAATAGGAGAGTTCTGGAAGGCCATTAATCGTGTTGTATAAAGTGCTTTTCCCTGAAACAGTCCGATAGTCTGAGCGATTTAAAGGCTACGTCCTCCAGTCCTGGGGTGAAGCACGGGTTGCCCAGTATTGGGAAAAGGGTTTGGGGTTTTATATGTGGTATTCACGTGTTTAAAATCCATTTATGCCATCTTCCCATGTATTGGAGGGTATAAGATTCATATTATTAGAGAGATGTGTGGATATATTCCTGCTTTCGTATTGATTAGTATACCAATTCGGTGCGGATGCTGGAATTTTATTTACAGCAAATCATTCACATGTTAGTAGTAGAACTATATTATTGTATCCGCAGCGGATTCATTTATTTGATGTTGTGAACCACAGTCTCACGACATCACCGGGTGGACTATACATTGATCAGCATTAAGCTGGGTCTGCATGGAGGGGTGGAGCAGAGGTGTTTCATCCTGTGTTTGCACCTGATGAGAGGAAGCATCCCCGGTTGCCATGGAGACTGTCGGCTTTATAATCCTCTGAGTGTGTCTGAAACTCCAAGCCCCAGATGAAGTCAATTGTGACGTAATACGTAGGGTGGAGTCACGCAGACGTGGATTGGAGATTGCATGGTCGGCAGCACAGCTCCTATTTGATCTGTCTTTGCACCCAGAGAACACGGTGACAGGGAGAGAGAGTTGTCAAGTATACATTTTATTTGAAGTTTTATGTCTACTTTCCTCATGTGAGTAGTTTTTTAACCTCTTGCCGTCCGCCCGTAGTAGAAAAACGGACGGACGGCAATGCCGCATCTGCGGGTTGCCGTCTCCAGACGGCAATTTTTTTCTGCTCGTGCGCGCCCCCTAGCGGGCACGCACGGGCAGAAAAGACCCGACAATGCACACACCCGGTACCGGGTGTCACACATATAGGCGATCAGCGGGTCCATAGCCCGCCGATCGCCTATATGATAGAACAATATCGGACCTCTGAAAAGTACAAGCATGCATATGTACTCAGTACTTGGTTTGGGCCCCTTTTGCAGCACTTCCTGCAATTACTTTTGCATGATATTCTAATTATTTGAGTTTCACCTGTATTTATTACAGAGATTTGTTTATGTATTGTTCTAGATGAAGTGAATCACATTCATGATAATTTGATATATTCAGAGGGTAACACTTCTTATAGTGCTTGCAGCTACACGGGGTTTGGCGCGAGATGCAATATGTCACTTGTTTGCACAACTGCTATAGATAAGCTATCTATTAAGCAACCCAAGTCTAGTAGGCATAAGAATAACAATGCAAGACTGAACTGTAAAAATACTATACCCACACTTTTAATTAGAATTGCTATAGGACTGGCTCGTGCAGAGCAGTAGATAATCAATTAGCTGCAGCTTGCAAAAGTATACCACCCAGGGCCAGGCCATGCATATAACACCAGATGACAGTCTCACACTCCCTTCCTCCTACCTCTTGTCCAGACTCCAGAGCCTCCTCATGTACCTAATACGATGTCCCTTCACAGGCGCGCTCGAGCGTTCTGCCCGCCCACTCTGCGCTCCTGCTGTATGCGGCTGCGTGTGTCTGCAGGTGCGTGTGTGCTGCTACGGCCGGGCCGGCCTCCTCCGCTGCGGGGCCCCGGACGCCTCCTCGCTTGTCACCGGCGACCGATACTCATGTAAGGGTCCTGGGCGGGTCCCTAAGGCTGCCCGGGCCCCTTACATGAGTAATGGTGGTACCCCCCTGATGGCGGCCCTGACTCCTTATATAACAAAAATGAGCTTATTGTGTATGAATTGTTCCAGATTTTGTCTCTGAATACCTACGCAGGTAAATCTAATAGTGAAAAAAGGAACAACTATGAGCCAAATTTGCCTTTCCAGAAATCATAAACATAATACAGTTTACAATACTGGTTATTTAGTGCTTTTAAAATAATCTTGCATATCTAGCTAACTTTTATTGGTACCCTTTTACCTATACTTTGTTTTCTATAACAGGACTATTATGGGAAGCAGCTGACTGATACAACGGATCTTAAAACCTCAGCCTGTGCCGCTTTTTCCAGACCTTTACCAAAACACATAAAAAATGTATTAAGTGAGATTCATGAAGATATTTCTTCACGGTATGAAGTTTCACAACTTGTTATCTTATTTATTATTTATAACAGATAAGTATCCCAATACTGCCAAGTTGAACATACCTCCCTGGTGTCTAAGACCTGACAGGATACTCCTCCCCATATGATATCTCAGTGCTGCAAACTGAATTGGTTCTGGAAGACTTTTCTGGTCTAGTATAGTCTGGTATAGTGATTGGAGGTCTGAGTAAGGAACAGGTCTCTATATGGCACCAAACCGAAGTTGGCCTGCGGGCTGGTACTTTGAGACCCCTGGTGTATTGCTGTAAAATAAAAGAAGAGTACCACATATGAATAATAACTACTTAGAAAATTGAACAAAAAATAAATAGGTTAATTGGAACCCTGGCGGACTTTAATGGTACACATACAATTACCGTATATACTCGAGTATAAGCCGAGATTTTCAGCCCATTTTTTTGGCTGAAAAGTGCCCCCCTCGGCTTATACTCGAGTCAGCGCCAGCGCGTCTTCTTACTTACCTCGCCGAGCATCGCGTCACTGCTGCTCCGGTGTGCGGCGCTCCGAGCGGGGTCATCTGGCAGTCTCCGGGTCCTAATTTAGGTGGCCGGAGACTGCCAGATGACCCCGCAGCAGGCACTCTATATGTACATGTACTATATACTACATATAGAATGCACTGAACAATAGATTTACAATTATCCCCCGCTAATATGAATGGGTTAAATGATCCGTAGTACATGATATGTAGCCCTGTACCCTCTTTTCCACTTACAGAACTAGGTTATTTTTCTTTTAAATAAACATGTAATTTTATTGGTATCCATCTACCAGTAGCTGCCTCATTTCCCACCCTCGGCTTATATTCGAGTCAATACTTTTTCCCAGTTTTTTTTGGTAAAATTAGGTACCTCGGCTTATATTCGGGACGGCTTATACTCGAGTATATACGGTAAAAAGATTAGATTCAAGAACAACAGTACAAATTACATTAAAAATTATAAAACTGAGAGATTGTCTCGCTTGGCCTACTTCAGTTTGTTTGCAATGTGTTTACATTGTTATATATGCATACATACAGTTTGTGCAGTTTGCATAAATACAAAGGCTCAAAGCCAGGACCACAAAAGACCTCAATGCTTTTCACAATCTCCAATCAATTGCCTCTTCAGGAGGCTCTCGGATATATGTAAAAACACTTTTAATGAATAGCTGTCAGGTTAGAGACAACACATTAGGGTGTGTGTAATTTCATAGAATCTATGTCAAAAACAATAAGTCAAGATATCAAATCATATACCTCCTTAGAGGGCATGTGTTTCATCTTCTATATTTAATCACCAATGGTAATAGGAAATCTCCCCTCCGGTGGACACGGGCACAAGGAAATGGGGGGATGAACTCTAAACAAATAAAACATCTGCTAGAGGCCTACATGAGGATTCTCTCCACCATTCCAATACCTAAATTTAGTCAGAGAGATCATTTTCCCCTGTAGTCAGGGTGTGAGGCAATTCTATTCAGTAATAGGGCACCAGCTTACACAAATACCTAAATTTAGTCAGAGAGATCATTTTCCCCTGTAGTCAGTGTGTGAGGCAATTCCCTTCAGTAATAGAGTACCAGCTTACAAAAGTATGAAAATATCAATATAATCATATAGAATAATAATTACGTGCACAAGAGAAATATCTATCTCTATTTCAAATATCTAAATAGAAAGGCTTGTATTACAAGTTCCTGTATCCAAGTCATATACAATAATCCCAACAACTGCAAAGGTCCCACGTGTCCACATTGCACACATGTTCCAATGTGTTTTACACATATATTATACATATATATACAGTATATATATATATATATATAT